TCTACTTTTTCTGGTGTTAATGTAACCGCAACAGCTTTCCTTGTGTGAGTTCTGGAAGTCGGCCTCTAGAAATACCGATTGCATAATAGTTAGAGTCCAGCTGTGGTCCTTGAATCTTGATCATTAAGGAACCTCGGGATAGAGGATTCTCAGCTCACTCAGAACAAGTGAGGGGTGATTTTATTCTTCCCCCTAAAGGATGACTTTGCCTTGTGGAACTCCTCCCACTCTACCACTAGGTGGTCCAGGAGTAGGAGGGAAGGAATCTGATTCAGCCTCACTGGTTTCTGTCACTGCCCAGCTGGAAGCCTGCCTGCCAGTGGGCACCTCGCCTACAGCCAAGTCCCTCCCCAGGCCCTGGGGTGCCAGTTGCCAATGCCAGCCTCTCCCGCCTGGGAGTTAGGACGAAGCTACTTCTGGAGAGATGCGATCTTTAACTTCTTGCATGGGATGGAAAGGGCAAAGGAAAGAAATGGTTACCTGTTCATTAACACCGCTCTCCAAGAGAAGGTCCATCTGCGCTGTACTCAGTGTCTTTACTCCTAGCACAGGTACGGCTTGCTGGTGTCTCCCCTCCCCTTATAAGGACACCTGGCACATTGGGTTAGATTCCACCCTGAAGGCTTCATTTTGCCTTAATTAACTTTTTAAAGATGGTATCTCCATGTCACATTGTGTGGTACTGGGGTTTTAGGACATCAACAAATTAATTTGCGAGGGACATGGTTCAACCTGAAAACCGGCACATGGTCCCTAAGCATTGGTGGCCTGGGAAGAGGACGTGGCAGAGGTCAGGAGGTAAGTTTAATGTCAGGTTGCAGCCACAGTCAACACGTCCATCCCTCTGTTGCTCTGATTTAAGCCCCCTCATTCACAAATGTTGGTGTGAAGGGCCATCTCAGCCACTTCAAAAGGCTGCCAGAACCTGGTTTCCAGTGGGTTAGCACTGGTAAGTCAAGATTTGAGGGTTTGGGGGGATAGGAGAAGGGCAAACTTTTTCCTCAAAACAGAAATAATAAAGAGTGAGTCACAAGTGCAGACATGAAATTTAAAATTCCGTGGAATCATTCTCACCAGAAACAAAGAAAAGAGGGAAGCTGAAGCCGGCAGTGCCAGAGCTGGCTGAGCCCCAAGACCTCACCCTGGGTGATGCCATCATGCTGGACATTTTTCTTCTGCTGCCTTAAGACTCCTTGGGAAGCACTTATGAGAAATAGGTGGGTTTGTTCCAGGAAGCAATAAACTCAGCAACTTTAACAACCTCCACACCATCCCTCTGAGCCTGTCGTCGCTCCTCTTACTTGCTGACATTCTGGGCACCACAGAGGCATGTAGCTTCTCTTCATACCCACCACAGCTCCATCACTGGGTAGGGCCTGTTTCCCCTTTATTCTGACCGAGTCTATGAAAGCACAATGAATGCTGCGATGTGCTTCTCCTCTGGGATCCCATGGTGAAGTGTTTCCTGGCTCCATACATCTTGTGCTGCTTCTTTAACCCCTGCCAAGAGTCCCTCACTCCTTTCCCCAGAAGCTCTCCCAGGAAACTGACCCCAAATAAATGGAATCTTGACATCCTTATGCCAGTGGAAAGAGAAGGAATGTCTTGTACTCTTCATGAGAATGGCTACCATAAAATACATGGAAAAGAATTCCTGGCCAGGATGTGGAGGAATAGGAACTCCTGTGCAATGTTGATGTGAATGTAAAATGAGGCAACCACTATGGACACATTATGGTATTATCCTTAAAAAATTAAGCATAGAGGGCCTCCCCGGTGGCGCAGCAGTTGAGTGCTGGGTTGCAAAGCTGCCCACAGCCTCTGCAGCGCCGGTTCGATCCCCGTCTGCTCCCTGGCCACAGGAGGAGGGTCCCACATGGCGCGCAGACCTCTCCTGCCGCCCACTGCTCCCCTCAGCAGTGTACTTCGGTCCTTCTGCCTGCTCTGCTCCCCGCTCTGGCTCTGGGGAATTCTCTCAGCCTCCCGCGCTTCTGACTGTCCCCAGTGCTTGTATAAATAAATAAATAAATCTTTAAAAAATTTTTAAAAATTAAGCATAGAATTGTGATATGATCCAGCAATTCCACATCTGAGTGTGTGCCCAAAGGAATTGAAAGCAGATACATGACGCAACCCAGGTGTCCAACATATGAATTGATGAGCAAAATGTGTTTTGTCTCTACAATATTTGAGGGTTAGAGGGGGCCAGGAAATAAACCTTTCCCTTAAAACAGAAATAACTTCCACTCATGTAAAGAGAGTGAGTCACAAGTACAGACAATTTAAAATTCCCTGGAATCATCCTCACCAGAAACAAAGAAAACAGGGAGCCAGCAGTGCCAGGACTGGCTGAGCCCCAAGACCTAACCCTGGGTGAAAGTCAATATTGTTGATCTTCAAAAGGAAATGAATTCTGGGCCTCCCTGTTGGCCTCTGGGTTAAGTTAGTGCTATCACCAAGGCCCACAGCGATGGCCTGAGTTCGACCCCCAGCCAGAGAGCTGCAGCAGACCTCTCCTGTCTTGCCCACTGCACCCCTCAGCAGTGTATTTCGGTAGATCCACCTGTTCTGCTCCCCACTCTGTCTCTGGTGAATCCTCTCACCCCCCCCCACCCCACACCTCTGGCCTGTACCCCAGCTCTTCTACACAAAAATAAATAAAATCTATTTAAAAAAAAAAAGAAAGAAAATAAATTCTGACACTTGCTACAACATGGATCAACATGGAGACCACTATGCTGAGCGAAATCAACCAGTCTCCAAAGGACTAATCCTATATGATTTCATATAGGTGAGTCCCTAACCAGTCACATTCACAGAGACAGAAAGTAGAATGGTGGATGCCAGAAGGCAGGGTGGGAGAGACCAGCAGCTGCTGTTTAAAAGTTATAGCATTTCAGTTTTACAAAATGAAACAAGTTCTGGATGTGGATGGCCATGATGGCTGCACCATGTGAAGGGATTAGGTGCCATTCACACGAAGTGAATCTGGTGAGGATAACAAATTTTATGTTACATGTATTTACCATTATTTTAAAATTTGGGGGAAAAATCAACAGATAAGGATAAAATTTTTAAATAGAAAATTTTTTTTAAAGAAAAGGGATGAAGAAAGAGATGAGAGTCAAGGATGTGATGGGACCAGGAGATGTAGCAGAGTCTGTTAAGCATATTAGTCGGTAATTTCATAAACTTGGAAGTTGATTGACATTTTTAGTCTGCAACAAATTTCCCATTGTCACAAAGGCTCTGTCAGATACTGGTCACCCTTTTAAAATTAACAGCAAGAATGATGAATCATGGCAATACGTCTGTTGTCTTTGTCTTTCTCACACAGGCAGTAGCACAAATATCGCCTTATGCAAAACCCACCTACATTTCCATTCTTTTACATCCAGTTAGTGGAACATGCCGACACTGTTGGTCAGAACAGCCCATTTTGACATGCAGGATAAAGGGAAGATATTTTGACCAGCTATTTGTCCATTGTTTCAAAACAGTGCATCAATGTACAGAAACACCACTGATTGCTTAGTACTATTTCAAACACCTCTGACACCTCCCCTCACCTGAATCTCACCCCATCTCTGATTCCTTCCCACCCCCAAATCCCACCTGAAAATAACCGCATCCAAAATTATAAAAACATGTTTTTTCTTCATTATCAAAGGCTCTTCAGCACAGTCACACAGATAGCCCTTGTCTTCATCCCTATGCCCATCCTGTGCCATATTCTTCTCCAACAACGATTGAGGATCAAGGAAAAATCATGCATCCAAACAGATGTAGCAAGGGCACCTGTAGTAGCCTCTTTGGAGCCAGGTATCCCAGCCCCTTGACTCAGCTTTGATATGGGTGGCAGCTATAGTAGACAGTTCCCAATAGACTAACACCTAGGAGGCCCTCCAAGCCCTCACCCCAGTCTCCACATCCTGCCTTGTGTCCTTCCCTGAACATTCAAGAGCACACTTGCTCCTCATGAGACAAAATCAGGACACACAGAGCCGTCAATATCCCCAGTGAGCTTCAACCAGGGTCGGGGACAGACTAGCTGATGGCTAGTGCCCCAGAGAGACAATGCTGCCTGCCTCCACTCAGGTCCGGTGCACTGAGCCCACATCACCTGGATAACTCAGCATCAGTAGGCTTTCCTCTGCCCTGGTAGATCTCTCTCTGCTTCTTTCTTGTTTCCTGGGATCACTCTTCCCCACAAATTATTGATTTGAGCTCAACTTCTCAACTTTTAGAGGAACCCAAATCATGGTCATCTTTCCCCAAAACCTGAGGGTTCATGTTAGCTTCTTTTTAATATGGTTTCACCTGTGAAGGCTGTCTCGAGAGAACCCACTTCAAAATAGCCAAGCTGAATGGACTTGTCGAGATATTATGAACTCATATAGAAAAGTCCCATTTGTAAGATGTTGGAGTTGTTTGGGTACATTTGTGTGTGTTTTAAGCTACACACCACTAGCTATTTTCTGAAAGTTCAATTTCTATTTTGTTCAATGGTTCTGCATAGACCTAGGGATGTGTAAAATGAATCTCACAGTAGTGTGCGTGTATGTTTGTGGAATGTGTGTGTAGATACTACTAGTGGAGTTTCAGGGGAAAGAGAGGGCTTTTTTTTTTTCAGGTACCTGTACATTTTAGCATTAGTCATTAAAGCAGGCAAATGATATTTGTATTAAAAGAACACTTAAGACCAGGGAGATTAATCAACATATGATAAATGATAAACATAGGCTAACAATAAAATTAGGGTCAAAACCCATTGACTCTGAATCCAAGTTCAGTCAGTGAACCTTACATTAAACTACATAATAAAATATTTCAAACATAAGGAACCCATTCTTTAAATGACTTATGATGATGATGACAGCAATGATAATAATAGTAGCAATTATTAGATGCTTACTATGTGCTCTAAGTGCTTTACCTGCACAATGTCACTTAATTTTATAAATGTGAGATGAACACTGTTATCTTCACTCCTTTTGCAGATGGGAAAGCTGAGGCATAAAGGGCAGGATAACCTGCCAGGGTCACAGCGTAAGTGATAGAACCAAGCCTCAAACTCAGGTAATGTGGCTCTAGAACTTACAGTTTTAACCCTTATGCTTTAGTAACAATTCATCACATGATTCTTATGCTTTGCAGCTGTATTTATTTTCATATATAATCAAAGGCATCGCCTTTGAGAGAACAAAAAAGAACTTTAAAGTATGATGATCTTTTCTGGTTCCACAGGGAACTGTGGCACTGATGTTGCTTGCTTGAGAAAAGGCCAGAGCCGAGTGCCACAGCAGATGGCATGTTCTCTCACCACCGGCAGGGCCAAGGCAATCCTGGCTGGTCACACCCTCCACCTGGAGAAAGGTCTGGTGCTCCTTCTTCCCTCTCCTTCCCCCAGACTCCAAAATTCCTGCAGTTCATTAGGAGAGATGCCGCATTTAACACTCAGCGTGGCTACTTCACTGAGCAATTGCCAAGAACGGCATTTTTATCAAGACAAAACACAATCAAATTTGAAAGGAAATGTGTTTTGTATGTTCATCAGTATCAGAGAATTATTGTTACATGGGTACTTCACATCCACATGCATTATATCCTCAAAGTACTAAACTTATTTCAGATTCCATGTAGTCCGCTAAATTATACATCTGAACTAGAAATATGCAAGTATGTCTGGAGTCTTTTATAAGCATATGTCAGTTAAGGAAGGAAAAGCACAAAGTATAATCTGTTACTTTTCTAACCATTTTATAAACCACCAAAAATAAACTGGAACTATGCTACTGATAATAGAAATGGTAATAATAATAATCATTAAAGGGAGTTCTTATAAATAAATGGATAAGTAAATAAAGTGGGAATAAAATAAATTTCCACTCACACCACTCACAAAAATTAACTGAAAATACATGAAAGACTTACATGTAAGAGTTGAGATCATGAAATTCCTAGGTGAGAATATGGGAATAAAGCTCCTTGATGAGGTCTCAGGGGTGAGTTTTCATAAATGACACTTAAAACATATGCAACAAAATCAAAAATAAGCAGTGCTCGCTTCGGCAGCACATATACAAAATCAAAAATAAGCAAATGGGACCACATCAAACTAAAAATTTTTCTGCACTGCCAAAGAAACCACTGGCAAAGTAAAAAGACAAATCACGAAATGAAGAATAAAATTGTAAACCACATGTCACATGTCATATCCAAAACATGAAGAACTCACACAACTCAATAGCGTAAAAACAAATAACCCAATTTAAACATGAGTGAAGAGTCTGGATAGACATTTCTCTAAAAACGTATGAAACGGGTACACAAAAAGACACTCAGTGTGACGATAACCAGAGGAATGCAGACTAATCGCACAAATTGCTGTCATCTGACACTTGCTAGCAAGGCCTGCACCAGAACAACAGGAGGTAACAAATGCAGGTGTGGATGTGGAGAAAGGGCACCCATGTGCACTGCTGGTGGGATTGTCGATGTAAACTGGTGCTATACAAGAGGAAACAGTACAAGGATCCTCAAAACCTTAGAACTACCACATGATCTGTCACAAACTTACAAAATTTTCAAAATGCAGAGGTTGCACCACTTGATTCCAAGATCTTGCCTCTTTAGAGAAGTGAACAAGAAAAACTTCAAGTATTTCCTTAGATTAAAGGCACAGAATTAAGGGGTAGATTGGTTTCCTAGCACTGTTGTAATAAAGCACCACAAACTGGGTGGCTTCAAGCAACAGAAATTAATTCTCTCCCAGATCTGCAGGCTAGAAATAAGAAATCAAGGTGAAGGCAGGATGGGTTCCTTCTGGAGGCTTCGAGGAAGGGTCTGTTCCTGCTCTAACTTCTGCCGGTTGCCTTCTATCCCTAGTGTTCCTTAGCTTGTCCATGCACCCCAACCTGTGACTCTCTCTTCACTGGCCACCCCCTCCACATGTGTCTTCACATGCCTGGCTCTGTGGCTCATTCTTTATAAAGATGCCGGTGTTAGATTGGCTTTGGACCCATCTTCACTCAGTATTCACCCATCTTCATAGTGATGGCTTTATTTTCAAAGAAGGCCGCATCGTGAGGTTCTGGGAGGAAATCAATTTAGAAGAAACACTATTCAACCAGGGTAAATATAGATGTGTGAAAATATTTAGATCATAATTCATAGAATATGGCTATGGGTTAGGTCTGCGCCCAGGGTAGCTACACATTGTACACTAAGTAGCTCACCCTGATCTGTGGGTTCACTTTTCAGTCTCAGTTACCAGAGATCAACAGTGGTCTGAATATATTTATTCTATTATTAGTTAGTGCTAATTGTTATTATGCTTAGTTTAAAAATTAAACTTTATCATAGGAATGTAAGTGTAGGAAAAAAACAGCACATATCAGTTTCAGTACTGCCTGTGGATTCAGACATCCACTGGGGGTCTTAGAAACATATGTCCACGGACAAGGGACAGCCATTGCATGGTGTGGGATTTAGCCCAAAATATCTCACCACAATTTAGGTTGCTTATCAACATAATGTAAAATGAATTCAAACTTGAGCTTAAATCCATAACATCCACTTTCCCACAGCTCACCAGCTAATAATCTGCTCCTCCCTAAGTGGTTATTATATTGTTATACATGGTAGATGTTACAGTATTGAATTTTCTACCCAATATGTGGGAGGCCCCCAAGGCCACCCTGACATTCATAAATTCACTAAGAAGACTCAGGGGACTCAGCGCACAGTCATACTGATGCTGTGATTTATCACAGCAAAGAAGAAGGCTCATTGGGCAAAGTCTGAGGAAACAGGCACCTGCTCCCCAGGGGCCTCTCCCACTGGAATCACACAGGCTGCTCTCCTTCCTCCAGCAACTGGTTGTGATCTCAGTGTGAAATATTGTCTATAGGGAGGCTCATTAGAGACTCAGTATCCAGGGATTTTATTAGGGGCTGGTCATATACACAGCCACTGCCTGCCTGCTGGAACAATGTTCCAGACTCCCAGCAGGAAAGCAGGTGTTCAGCATAAACTATTGTGTTTGTTCAAACACTGAAACACAAGGTGTCACTCTTGTCACCCTCTGATGGGACCTCTCCTGATAGCTACGTTCCCAGACACCACCCAAGTGCCAATCTAGCAAGCAGGGCTTTTTAAGACCAAAGGTTTAGGTTGGTTGTACTCACTCTTTCCTGTACCCCCTGAGGCATAGCCAAGCTCCCCAAAAGATCAGTATGCTGCAGTCGATGGGGTGATGAGAGTTGTTCCTGGAGCCCCATCACTCCCACTAGATTGTTGCCTTTCTCCCTGACAGACACTCTTATTCTTACCTGAACAGAGCAGCTGTGAAAGGACAAAATGGAGTAGAAACAGAGAGGTAACAGGTCCTAGTCCTGGGCCAGCCCAGTATTAGAGGAGTTGAGGAGTCAAGTAGAAGGGTAATTGGGAATGGGGACAAGGTATGCCCTGGAATTCTTGAACTAGGTCCTTCCTCATGATGGAGGAGATGATTTACTGATCAGCCAGAGTGAGTTTCTAGGGTTTTTTAAATATTTATTTATTTATTCATTCATTCATTCAATAACCTAGGCTAATACAAAAACAATGATGTTTCTACAGTGCAGATTGGGGGCCTCCCTGGTGGCTCAGAGTTAAGTCTCAGCACTATGAAGCTATTGGCAGCCACTATAGCACGAGTTCGATCCCCAGCCAGGGAGCTACCCACATGGTGCAGCAGACCTCTCCTGTCTCACCCGCTGCTCCCCTCAGCAGTGTATTTCAGTAGATCTGCTTGCTCTGCTCCCCACTATCTCTAGTGAGTCCTCTCACCACCACCACCCACACCTCTGGTCTACACCCCAGCTCTTTTATGCATAAATAAACAAAATTAATCTTTTTTAAAAAATAAAGTGGGGCCTCCCCGGTGGTGCAGTGGGTTGAACGCCGCACTGTGAAGCTGTCCGCAGACTCTGCAGCACGAGTTCGATTCTCGGGCAGCCAGGGAAATTCCCACATGGCGAAGCGGACCTCTCCTGTCTCGCCCAATGCTCCCCTCAGCAGTGTATTTCGGTCCATCTGCCTGCTCTGCTCCCTGCTCTGTCTCTGGTGAATCCTCTCACCCTCCCGCACCGCTGACCTGTACCCCAGCTCTTGTATAAAAATAAATAAATCTTCAAAAATAAAATAAAATAAAAAAATAAAGTGCATATTGGTTGTGTCTTATGTTTCCTTAAAATGCTCGTGGTTCCCCGTGTCACTGTCATAAAGTCCAAACTCCTTAGCTTGGAATCAAGGTGCTGACCTCTCTCTACCTCCCCGACGCTTCTCTCTCACCACCCTGTTTGCCTTTACCCAATGTTTTCACCTTCCTCCTCACTTTGGAGGCATATGCTATATATCCTTTGTATATGCCATTTCTGGAAGGTTTGGAAAGCCAAGAAAGGTTGGTAAACATTGAAGGAAGTAAGTCATCAGAGCTCTGAACCACAAAAGTCAATATGGCAAAAGTATGTAGGACAGATTGAAAAAGAAAAGAACTAAACTAATAATCCCAAATAAATTATTTTGGTTTGGTCTGCTTCTTGCCTGATGATTTAACAAATCTCCCAAATGATCTTTAATCAGTGAGGGTTTTCAGTCTCAAACAATGGAACCCATTTTGCGACAGGAACAATTAGTTCCCTCCAGCAGCCATTCTTTCTTTCCCACAGGAGTAAAACCTCCAGTTTTTAGCTGAGATACGGCTCTCCAAAACAAACACTGTATTTTCCTCTGACTAGAGTTGGCTGGATAACTATGTCCTGGCCAGTGCAGTGTAAGTAGAAGTGACCAGTTCGACTTCTGGGTTATGTCCTGCAAGGGAGGCTGCATACCCTCCCCTCTCCTTCTTCTGGCTGCACTATCTTGGCAGATAATAGCAACAGTCTGTGGTTTTCCCAACACCCTGGAACCACCATATCAACTCTGCATATTATACGAGAGAGAAAACATTTAATGCTCCTTGTGGTATCCCTGTTCTGGATGCTGCAACTGTATCTGAAGTGCTAAACCAACTTAGCTTGTTAAACAGAAAACTCATGTCCTAAGTATGCTTAGGTAGCTCACAGAGTTTGTGAGAGGATCAGAAAGAGGCTTGAAGGGTGCACAGCCAGAACAACACCCAAACCATAGGACAACCCTACTCTAGCAAAGACCCACACCAGGAACTGCGCATTCGATGCCAAAACTGCTGCGGCCACTGCTGCCTCTGAAGTAGAAGCCTCTACCACCATCAACGCTGGGAAAAAAATGGTGTTTGACTCTTTCATTGCTCGCTTACCAATCAAAGACTCGCTTTGCAACATGTGTGTCTGTTGGACCGGTTAGGTCACATGCCTAACTGCAATGGACACCAGGAAACTGGGGTCTGGCATCTCTCTTGGGGAGGCAAGTAGGTCAAGCCAACGATGCACTGCAGGACTCTGAGGAGTTGCATGGATGTATTTAGTTGAGGGTACTAATACTTACGTAAATATCCTCCAAATTTCAAAACCTGATATCTTCTGGATGTTATGTCCCACCATGCCACAAAGAAATCAGGC